TACACAATCTATGGCATTGTCCACACCAAATATCACAGAAGCAATTGATGCGGCACCCTCAACCAAGAATGATTCCTACCCAACACAAGATGAGATTGATTTTGCCAATCCAGAAGAATGATTCCTACCTAATGTAATGTGATGATTGAGTTCTGGTTCAAATCCTTTTCTTTACTTTTTCATATTCGGCTAGCTAATCATGTGTTGCATTTTTGTAGTATATATCGACAATCCTGTACCTAAATCTACATATATGAATAAGTTAAGAGATTAACTGTATATTTGACGGTTTCTTTTAATTTATTCATTCATTCATTCATATATCTGCCCCACCTCCCTCACCCGTTTGATACTGTGTGACAATAATTCTTTCGGTGCCACAAATTAATAAATAAAATCAACTACTCTTTTAATTATATAGCAATTCTTTTGGAGTATTAATTAATTTTATAAATTTTGTATACCTAAGATTACACTATTCGCGCTCCTCTATGTGTATTGAGTTGGTTGATGCAGCTGAAGTTAGCTAGCCACTGTTTTCCATCCATTCATAAATAGGCATGAAGCAAGAAACTTGGTCTTGATAATTAATGGTCTTGATAACTAATAATTTCTATGATTTGATGAAGCACCGCATCTCCTTGAATATTGGCACCAAGATTGAAAGCATTTTTGGTCTTTGAATATGGGCATCTAAAAAAAAAAAAAAAAGGTTGGGACAAAACCTTTCTAAAAGAATTAATTTAAGAAAAATGATTGATATATCTTTCATTTTAATATATATTTGGGTTTATTTATTAAAATATAATATAAATACAATCAATTCTTATATATTATATGTATAATTATATTTTTAAATTATTTATTTATTTTTAACTTTATATTAAATAATAATAATTTTTTAATAAATATATTATATAATACATTAAATTTAAAAGTACACCAATTAAACATATATGGCATCTTCTGAGCTACCTGCTACCATGCGCCAATGTATTTAATAAAAAATGTGAAGATGTAGCATGTGAACAGACCAAGGAGTTAGGTTTTCCCATTCTTGCATCTTGATTTTCCATCACGTTTTAAATGTACGATCTAATAATTAATGAAATTTGAGACTGATAGGTAGGTATGGCATCTTCTCCACCATCATTAGGTATCTATAAGGAGAGGCTGAGAAAGTGAGAATTGAGAAGAAACGCTTTCATATTTGGTTAAATGTTAAATTTGGTCCCTAAACTTTAGTGAGTTGCACATTTTTGGTCCCTTAATAATTTTTTGTATTTTTTTTATCCCTAAACTTTAAAAAATGCACTCCGTTAATCCTTCTGTTAATTTCAATCATTAACTCGCTTGTGTGACATTTGTTATAATTTTTTTGATGACGT